TTTCCTCTATAGCCTCATGGATTTTTTCTTTACTTCTTGTGCTATCATTTCAGAAATTTCAGGTGTGTGTCTTCCATTTTCCACTGTCCTGTCTCCTGGATTTGTTCTGGGTGGGTGAGAGGTCTGAAGTTGCATTTTACTTCAGCCTCTTTTCATTTTCTATTTGAAAATTTTTGATTTTGTTTTCTGTGTTGATTCTTGTAAGATTTTTAGTAGGTAGCTTTATCAGTAGTATCAAGGCCTTCCTAGGAAATGTCTATTTTTCAGGAATGTCTTGTATGTGTAGAAGGTTCTTGGTTTGTGTCTGTTCTGAGATCCAAACTTCCACATTTATTAAGAGTGAAATATTGCTATCTGTTTGGCTCATACCCAGTCCTTTCATGCTGGACTGTGGTGAGATTATTACCCCAGAGCTTCCCAGTATTGTTATAGGAAGATAAACAACTAATTAAAACACATATGACATCCTGGTAAAGTAGTATAATTAGCAGTAACAATAGCATCAAGCACAGTTTAGAAACTGACAAACTGTGGAAACTTAATTTTGTACCTTAAACCATAGGAGCAAAATCTACAATTATATAATAGAACCCATCATAAATTGGGAGCTTGTATTCAAAGTATTTCCTCTTGTTAGTGTGGATTTTACCCTGTGGTGGGAAATTTAAGAAGGATAGTGGAAAAAACAGGGATAACTGAAGAGAAATAAGATAGAGGCAAGGCTGGAGAATGAAGGGTGATCTAGCAAGCTTTGGGAAACTAGAGAAGGGAGGATAAGAGAAAGAATGAAGGGGTAAGCAAGCGTTCATTAAACTTAACCAGAAAAATTAGAGAGACTATTCATTCATATGACAATATGATTAAATCTAGAGAGAAAAATGGAGGAAAGGAGGAAAGAACATGAACAGATTAGAAAAAAATATAGGTAAAAGGTAAAAAAGAAAGAAAAAGGAAACAAACCAGCAAGGAAACAAGAAAAATATAATAAAAAGAAAAATTCTTCTGGTGTCCACCAAGAGCCCAAAACTACTGTATAATACTACCAAGCTTGCAGTAGAGTTTGTGCTAGGTGTGAAGCTGATGTTGGCCTTCAGATGTGGGGATGTGGGTCAGAGTCTTCAGCAGTTACTTTCTGTGTGTCCCTTAGAATCCTGCCCACTCCTTACCCTATTTCTCTTGGTGTCTCTCTCCATTGATTTGCTGCTTATAGACAGAGACAAGGGGCTGTTCCCAGGCCCATGTATAGTTGGCTCCTCCTGGTCCTTGCTCAACCTTCTATGTTCCTCTTCCACTGGCAAGTCTTTTCTCAGGTCATTTGTTGCAGGTTGAAGTGGGATGTTGTGATGTGGTTTGATCCTCCACTCCTGCAGGTGCTGTCCAAGGCTGTTCAGTTACAATTCCTCCTCCTCTTCTGATGGAGGAGTGCTAACTTCTCACTTGTTGCTTTGCAAGATCTACCACCATCACCACCTGCCTGTACTGTAGTCTGTAACTTCATCAGGTGAGGTGGACTGAGGTGCTGTAGGGTGCATTTCTGCTCCCATCCCCAGTGTGGGGATGGCTTCAGACTGCACAGTCCTGCAGTGCAAGACTATTTAATTCCCACGTCTCTCTAGCCACAGGTCACAGGGGAGGAGTTAGCTCTTCCATTTACTACACACCCCTCTAGTCTTTAATCTTGCTCCTAGATGTTCTAGTTAGCACTATGGTGCCCAAAAGGAAACGGAAAAAAGAAAATAAAAGGAAAAGAAAAAAACAGAAAGCTTGCTGATTATGAAGGAGAGAGTAGTTCATTCACTCCTGTGCATGCTGGTGGAATTTGCTGGTGGAATTTACTGCTGGGTTGTAGGGTCCACTGGCAGGGTATGTTACATCCCAAGTCTATCCTGTGTGGCTTGATTTAGCCACACTATTTTTTCTCTCTTTTAAGGCTTCCAAGTATGCCAGGCAGTCATCCATGATCCAGCTACCCACTGGCAATTGGGTAGGCTGGCTGGCTGTTTATTAAATCATTTGTTTGTGTTTTGCTTACTGTATAAGTGTTTTATTTTAGATCAACTTTGGTTTCAGGATGTACGTCCCTCTCCTTTATTCCTGTGTTTTTAATTGAATTTCTCTGAGTAGCTCTGAGAGTCCTCCTCTATTCAGCCATGTTGTGAGTCCTATTGTTAGATGCTATTTGCTGATATTCCCTTTATAATTTTTCTTTATGTTCATGACTGATATAAGCCTGTATGTCTCCCTGTCTTGCAACAACTTTTCCAAATTGTTATTTCAAAGTTAGTACAGCTCTGAGAAATGAGTACTCAGTGGTTCTTCTTTTCTTCTTTTAATTTTATTTTAAAGAGAGTAGTAAATGAGAAACAAACAAACAAAAAAAATAGAACAGTAGCAGCATACCAGTATCACGAACATAAACAACTTAGAGCAAGAACATTCAAAGTGATACAGGATCTAAAGACAAAATAATACAAATAAATAGTTATATTTACATATCACTATCCTCAACTACATTGCTCAGATTACCAGATGTAAGAATGAAAGATTGCTCAAACCATTAAAGAGAATAAGAAAATAATTTTTATCTTGAAGTGGACTTTTGCCTTAAATAAATGTTGGAAGAATTCATCATGAATTCAGCTGTGTTTAGAATTTTATTGGTGTTTTCTGAAGTGTATTTTCTCTTTATATATTTAATTTGTTTAGCAAATAGGAAATTTTGACTTTAAAGTTTCTCATATCAGTTTTTTAAAGTTGTCTTTTTGTATAATGGTTCTAACCATTAGAAATTTTAAACTTTATTTTACAGTGTATACCTAGTATCCTCTTTAAGTACTTTTAATGACGGAAGTATTTCTTGATATATGTAAAATGTTTTAAGAACTTAAAACACTCTTCTTTAATAATGTCTACTCCTGCATTCCTGTGTACCTATGTCCCAGTCTAGCTGGTGTATAATCACGCATACATTTTCTTTTTAAAATATGTCATTCATGTTTCCTTTCTATGTATAAACAGCAACAGATGAGTAGAGGCTTGTGCACTCTGCTTTCTCATTTGATGACATCATGTGGCATTCTCTGTACGTGGGTATATTATAAACATCACCTTCTACTGCAAGTTGGGTGACACTGCAATGCTTGATGTCCTCTCATTGTTTAATCTAGTTCCATAGTGACAGTTGTGTCTGCTGCTTCCTGTCTTTGAAATCACAAGAAATGCTGAAGTGTATATTGAACATTGAACATTTTCTCACATAAGTGAATGTAGCTATGGGATTCATTTCTGAAAACCAACAATGACAACATCAACACACTGAAACCAAAATTTATACATATTCCTCATTTTATCGACAAATTATTCGCAACAATACTTATTTGAAAGTCATGTCCCTCTGCACTGGATGAAAGCCCTGATTCCTAAAGTCTCAACAACTTTATGCCATCAAATATGAAATTTTGCCAATTATTTTGGTGAAATTGTGACTTTAAAGCAGTTTTACTGAATAGTTCCCAAATATAAAGAGGTTCAGAATACAACCTAATGTGTTTCCAGAGTAGAGGCAATAAAATGTTTCATTCTGTTTCTTGTCTTAGTCTCTTATCCTTCAGAATGGCCTGCTCCTGTGGGTCCTAACACTCAGGGGCATCTGTCATAGAAAGCTCAGTGACTTACAGCCTGGTCACCTTGCCATATTTCTTTTGTTATTTTTTTTCTTATTTAGATAACCTGGCTTATTTTGTGGTAGAAAACACTCTTCTTGGGTGTACTTCCTATCATGCATATGTGACAACATCTTTGGCCAGCAGGAATACTTAGTTGGAATTTATGACACCAGTTTGCTTTTTTAATGTCTTAGTTACTTTTCTCATTGCTGAGACAACATGCTTGACACCAGAAGTTAAAGAGAAAAGATTTAGCTCATAGGTTGTAGAGGTTTCAGTTCATAGTTGGCTAGCTCCAAGGCAAAGTGGCATGGCAGAGGGGCATCACAGAGGATAAACAGTTCATAGCAGGCAGAAGGCAGCAGCAGCAAGCTGCAAAGTAGTTGCAATAAGTGACAAACAAGCAATAAGTGACAAACAATATTCCTTCCCTCTCTTACATTCTATCTAGGCTACCTTAGTGCAGATAGAACTCACACCAAGGGTAGGGCACCTTTAATCCCAGCATTGCACAATGATTCAATCCTAGCATTACACCCTTAATCCCAGCATCACACACTCTAGATCCAGCCACCTCTGAGAAGCCCCACCTATGACCACATGAGGATTTGGGGGGAACATATAGACACAAGCCATAACACATAATATATATGTGTTTCTTTCTCTTGATGGTTCTTTCCTTTTTCTTAGTACTCAAGAAGGATAGGGACTAATAAATATACAATTATGAAGACAAATAACACAACAGAGCAGTGGTGAAAATGAAGTCTAAAAGAAAATAATCTTTTCAATTTTCTTAGACACCCTGGACCAGATTTAGATTTTCTATTAAGTGACCTCTTTATACAAAATAACAAAATGAAAGCCATTGGCTTGAGGACAACTGTAAAAACGTGCACCTGACTATAAACACTTCCAAAGTTTGGAAATGCTTTTATCAGTTGTGTTCTAAAACACATTGCTGGATTCAAGTTGAGACAAACTTCTCACAAACTGCTTCTATCCAATTCATAAATGAGCCAGGAGAACAAAGACAGATAAATTTCCATAAGGCCCAGACCTCCACAGAAAACTAAATTGATCTCTAGGACACGTTTGGCACAGCTTCTTCTGCACAGGAGCTTGGGAATCTTCCCCTGTCCCTCTCCCTCTGTCTAACACTCAGAATCACACCTGCTTAATGCTTTGGTGATTGCTCAGTCTCACAGGAGTTGACTTTTCATTGGTGTTTGCTTCCCAAGACCTCATATCAGCATTCTACACTGGAAAGACACTTCTAGTTGATGCTGGATGAAAAAAATTTTTGAGTAAAAAATATAACTAAATAACAAACCTTCAGTTTCCTAAGGAGTTAGTGTAAAAGGCAGCTTCTGCAGATTCTCTGTGTCTGTGCCAACATTTAACCATGTGGGCATCTCTGCTGATCAGCACAATGGGGCTGAGAATTGCATAACCAAGTCCTAGAAATATTTTAATATTTAGTATTGTGAACTCATGTGTCACGGTTGAGCCTGTGTAGAAGGAAAAAACAAAATCTGCCCAATAAAAAAAAAGGAAATAGGTCATGAGAATGAGAATACTTAGAGTAGCTCTGATTTCTGGGCTCTGGTTTGCAGACCTAGAGTAGCTCTCATTTGCAGACCTGGAGCTGTGTAAGTAGAGGACACGCTTGTGATGCTCATACAGATATACAGCCATGTATCCACTGCTACAGCCCATGAAACTCTGGAAGATGATGTCTCGAAGAGTCATGAGAGACAGGAAAAGCCACCTGACTATCTGCCTAGATGGCATCATGTAGCAATACCCAACATGTATTCTAATAACAGATCTGTTGATGCTATTTACTGCTCTGATGTAGTAGAGCAAGTTGGAGCTTATCAGGAAATTCAAGAACCAAAATAAGAGGAGACAAGAAAGAACTTGCCATTTTTTCTGGGGTTTGAGCTTTGTCCATGAGGTGTTCAGGGGACTGATGGTGATGGCCTGGACCACACTGAGAAGACAGGTTGTGCAGAGGGAAAGGCCCCGGGACACTCTTCCCAGAAAAATCACAACTTTACAACCAACATCACCTAGGAAGTAATGAAAATGAAAAGGTGATCTTATATGTGCAATTCCAGAAGCCAAGAGTGTCATCGCATTAGCGAATGCCAGTTGAATTACAATAAAGTCTGTGCCTTTTTTCTTAGTCTCCACACCTAAAGTGTACAAATGTTTCACAAACAAAAAGGAATTCCCTGCAGTGCCAGTTCCAGTAAGAGAAAAGAACGTTATTTTCCGGATAAGGTTACTCCAATTATCCTTTGAATTCATGGAGAAAAACAGGAAAAACTTGAGAAACAGAAATAAGTGAGGAGGAAATGTTTCAGTTTGTGGCTTCTCCTTGGTTCCCTAAAACAAAAAGAACAGCAGCAATACTGGAGTGTGTAAATATTTGTGACAGTCCTGGTGATACATTCTTCTCTTTTTATTCTTTATAGTCTTTATTTATCCATGACATCACAGATTCACAGGCTGCCATGACTATAAAATCTACATTCTGAGGCCTTTATTTCTCTCCTGGTTTATACAGTATCCACTTTATCCATTTCCTAAATCAGTTAATTCCTCCTCTATTTCTGCACATCAATTTCCTAACCCCACAGTCTACCCAGTTTGACTTTGTCACAAACACTGTGCTTCTCTGTTTGGCTCTCAGAACTGTGCACATTCCTCCTGTATCTTCTCTGAATGTTGGCTGGGACAGTCCACAGCCATCTCTGGAGAACCGACCCTGGCACGTGGACCAGCCTAGCTTTGTTTTTAGGATAAATTCTTTCTCTTTGCTTTGAAAATTTTGGACAGTTAGTGACAGGGAAGGACAAGCTGCCTGAAGGTCTCAGCTGTGGGTACCTGTGTTGTGCGAATCTGTTTCATGGTTTTATAGATTGGAAGTGGTTGTGGAAATTTGTTAATGGGACAGTATTTGGAGCCTATCTTTTTTTTTTAACCTATCCATGCTTATTTATCCTGTCTTTTTCCTCTAACTCACCAGGAAATCATGTGAATGCAAATTTCATTTTCAAAATCTGCTTCTGACCACCTCGGCCACGGCCAATGTTTTACTGATGGTATCTCTTAACATTTTCTAACCTTTAAATTTCTCAATCACTATAGTTACCTTTATCTCACACTGTGAATTTTACAGCCCATTTTTAAAACATCTCTGTCCCTTTATGTATTTCCATCAATTTTCTGTTCAAATGGGATTTTAAAACAGAAATCTATTTTTTCAAATCCAAGTCTTCTTATATATTAATTTATTTAAGTTTAGTCCAAGTACATTTGTAGGTTAACTGTGCAATGTTTAGTTCCTTGACTTCATTGCTTTCCTATGAAGTTTGGACTGAATTGCTAAGGCACTGTCTTGGTTACTTTTCTCTCATTGCTGAGACAAAATACCCAATGCCCAAAATGAAGGAAGGAAAGGTTTATTTAGCTTACAGTTTGTGGAGGTTTTAGTCCATACTTGGCTGGCTCCGAGGCAGAAGATAGCAAAGCAACAAGAGCAAAGGGGGGAATGGCAGCCGAACAGCAAACAGCCAGAGCAAAACCCGGAGGAATGGTGGCAAGCAGCTTCTCTTTTGCCTTACATCGTAAACAGGCTACCCCCACCTAAGGGGCGTGAAGGTCTCACATAATCTCCATGCCCTCCTCTTCCACAGGCTCAGGATGTATACAAAGTAAGCACTCTGGCTTCCTGCTAAGTTACTTAGCCAAACCTCTAGACTCCCCAAGTTGACACAATGTATCAACCATAACAGGCACATTACACTTTTGTAAAACAAATGGAACCTGGCACTTACTTTAGCCATAGTAATGTGCATGAAGTCCCTCTAGGAATCTCTGTCACCTGCTGTCACACACCTTTTCCTAGCTCATTCCTGTTCAGCCCTGACAAACCAACTTAGACTCATTTTCCATGATAAGTATTTGCTGTCACCTTGCACTCTGCTGCCTTCTGCTGTTTCTCCCTTGTCTTTCACCACTTCACTGTGGAATGCCACTTTCCATCTAGTGTCTCAGTGATCTAACTCTATCCCTACAGAAAACAGTTTATCAAGTAATCATAAGAAGCTTGGAGTTATACATGTAAGTGTAAATTGCAATGCCATAGGAGAAATTAGGGGACAGTTATGGGAGGTGCCATTTGAACAGCTTGATTATCACTGTGACTAAATGCTAGACACCATGAGAACTCACCTCCACTCCTGTTCAATGACACATGAGTTACTAACTTCGTTATCTCATCCAATGAATAGAGTGGTTTGATTTTTATAGTCAGGTACTCTGAAGTTCCTATCCTGTCTTCCTAATTTCTAACTGCAGATTACCTGATCTCTCTAAGACCAAATACCCTTATTTGTAAACTCAGGGTAATGCCATGTACTCCCTTGGTCTATGGTGAAGAGGAGCAGATGAGGCTGTAGGAAGTGCTTATTTTTGTACCTAGTAACAACTAAGGAACAGTTGTTCAGAACAGTTGTATTGCTACTCTGATTTGTGCTCAATCTATACATCCTTTTACAATCAGCAATTCTCTGCAAGAGCATATTACATTGAGCTTGAAGCTGGGTGTTAGTTTAAAGGGATAATGCAGACTGAATTAAAAAATTATTAGAAATATTCATAAGGATGCAGGAGTATGACATACTGAAAAGGCAGAAACACATCAGACAGAAGACATAATCTAAGTAAAAATTAAAAGTACAAATTCTTCTATTGTAAGGGGGAAATATAGGGCCTGGGGATTTAGCTCAGCGGCAAAAGCGCCTGCCTGGCAAGCGCAAGGTCGTGAGTTCAGTTCCTGGTACCGGAGAAAAACCAAAAAAAAAAAAAAAAGGGGGGAAATATACAGTGATGGAAGGGAGACTGCAGAGAGTCAGTGCTCCCACACAGCCAGTGAAATACCATAGAGGACCCCAGTCTCCTGTGCCTCCCTGTCCTGTATAAAAGGAGAAGGCTTGGGCACAGTGTTAGGAATGCTGCTGAACGGGGCTCCCTCATGGAGAAGCGAGACAGAGGTTTCTAGATGACACTTGGGAAATGACAGCTGTCTTCTCCCTGTGTCCTTGCCCTTGTTTTATCCACAAATGATAGATACTCAGATCCTTCTGTCCCCCACCTGATGCAAACCAGCCCTGGCAGCTCCCCTTCCACAGCCCAAGGCAACCTCAATCCACAGAGTCAAGTGCACTCACCTGTATAGTCTGTGCGGCTTAATGCAGGGTGGAAGTTCTGTTACAACAGCATCAGCCAGGCCCTGTTTATCTTTCCCTGAGTCACAAGGGTCACAGTTGTCAATATGTCAATGTCATGAGTTTTGATTTCACCAAGGAAAAAGAATTCCTTCTGTCCCATCTCTATCCCTGGGGAAAAACTCTGCTGCTTTCCCAGCTGTTCTATAATGTGTTGAGCTCAGAAACTTCATGAGGCTAATTTTCAGTAATGAGTAGGAGGCAATGTAATTAGGTGCAGGTAACATAAGGGTCTGTGCATTTTTAAATTCATCATACACCATTTAATCCAGGAACCAGTTTAGAAGAAGCTGAAAATCTGAGGTGGTCACTTTTTGAAATATTTCAAAGTACTTTCTCCCTTGAAATGTAAAGGCTATGAAGTGCTTACACTGGGCACTACCACTGAGGTGTAAGGTCTGAGACAGTGTGGAAAGGGGATTTCTAGAACTGGTATGGCGGATCTCTTGATCTGAGCATTGGCTGTATGCATGATTGAGTTCTGCACCTCAATGAGATATTTGCTTATCATTTATAAAATACTTTGGGTGTAGAAACTGCTCAAACTTAGTCAAATCTTGGGGCATATAAGGATGCTTCTGGAAAACTCTAAGGACATGAACCCACTGTCAGTGCAGATGCACATAGAGGCATAAATATGCAACCATGGCTTAGTAGTGGACAACTATGCATGCATGTAAGAATGTAAATAGGTGATAACAACCTATATAAAAATATACAATAGAGATGTATCAGGGACCCCCTACAGTGAGCCTCCAATCTCATGTGAGGTGTTATGACACATGGCAAGAGAGAAAGAAAGGGGAAATGGGCATAGTTCTCATCTAGCTGCTTTGAGCTGAGAAGGATTGGTGTAGGGCCAACTACAGTCAGAGACCTTCTCCAGAGAGCTAATCTAATGGACCTCAGATAGACATCATATTGTGGTTTAGCAGTTATAAACTCTCTTTACAAGGTTGATCTAGTGGGTCCTGGTAAAAGGAGTCTAGCACACTTGTCATTGGTTCCACCTATGTGAGCACTTGGAGTTTGGCAACCTCTAGGCAAGAATAAACAAATTTTCTAAGAAATGAGAGTATGTATAATCAGAGCATGAGCAGTAGAAAAGGAAGGCAGGTTGGGAGAAGAGCCAAATCTAGAGACTGTTCTTTAGGGACTGGAATAGAATTATAACCTGCTGGCTCTTAAACCATTCTGCTGATAGAGTTTATCTATAAGTCTGTTATTTTCTCATAAGTCTCTCTCCAGTTTTGGCTGTAAGAGTGAGAGTTTGGTGGTTTGGAAGGATAATTTTAGTTAATGAATTTAAGGATTATTATTGAGCTTTTAAAGGTTTTACTGTAGTTTTCCCATAATAGTGGTCAGCTACTGGTGCACATGGAAACTGCCTGAAAGAGTTAGTGATTGGAGTCCCTTCCTAAATATAGCTTATTATTATGACATTGTTTTATATATCTTTTTGTTATACTTTTCTGCTTGGCCTTTAAGGTTTTGTTAATTAATTAAAATTAACTTCTCACTATCTATCAAGGGCAGTTAAGTCTCCCAAGTATTACCTTGGAATCATGTACAGAGCCTCTCAGTTCTTCTGTCAGTGTCAACCATCAGGATGAGTCATGGTGTTCACTTGGCCAATTGCTTTCTATGAAAGCATGGGAGGTTTTTTTCCTCTAGTGGTCTTGCTTTAGCACACTGCTCACTGTTTCCCTTCCTCTGAGGCCCACCAATTTTCTTGGTAAGGAAACTGTATGACACATCAGAGTTTTATGATGTTGCAGGAAAATTTCCCTCATGTCCTGGCTCCTGGTTGACCTTGGAGTCCTGGGACCAACATATTGGCTGTTCTCTTAGCCCAGGTACTTTTCTAGCTGTGGTTCTCAAACACAGTTGTCAAATACCATGAAAAGAAGATCAGTGACATTAACATTGTAGTTGGAGAAATGAGCTTAATTATTATAATATTACCTGAATAGCAAGCACTTTGAAATATAAAGTATAGCCAAATGACAGTTATTGCTTACCAACCATGATTGTTTCAGTAGTTGAATTTCTGCACAATATTAGCAGACAAAAGTTAGTTTTACAGAGAAAATTTGAGATCAAAAACCACACATGGTATTTCAGCATGACAATCATGATGTTATCTTTGAAACACACTTAAATGTCCATTGTAAGATAGAACAGAGTGACACATAACATACACATCATGTAAGGCTTTTTTGTTTTTGATCGGTGGTTTTATGTTGGTTTGACATATACCTCTTAACACAAGTAGCTGGGGCACAAGAGAAAGGCAAATATCTAAATCTGAAAGAAAAGGTTTATCACTATAAACAATCCTAGTTTTACATTTTAGAAGACCTGTACATCTGGAAGGCATGAATACATTTAAGACACCATGAGGTTAACAATAATGAATTGTAGTAACTAACTGGAGAGGTTGTTTCTTAATTTAGTGTTGTACCCAGAGCATTTTAATGATAAAATCTTGATTTACTTATAATAAACAACCTTTTGATGATCACCAATATAAATATATCGCAATGATATATTTAACAATGTTTGCTGGGGTGTCTCCCATAAAGCTATGGAAACAACTGGAGTCCCCTTAATGAACAAAGCCTGGAGTAAAATTTTTCCAGGAAGTGCTCCTTTATTCACTGAGGGGAGTTTTGTCCAACAGCTTCTCTCCCTAAAGGATATCTATAGAACTATCTTAACAATTTTTGGTGACCTATGAGAAAAAGATCATAACAATTTGCACATTATTTTGACCAATGAAAGATGCCCAAATTTTTGTACATACGTGACAGTGTGTACTACATTTCTAAGACCAATCCTGACATCATTTTTATCAGGTGGCAAGCTAGGTGGAAGAATGTCCTTAGCTCTAGTGACATGTATACACCAACTTAAGTTATAGAAAAATGTTTTAAAAATCCAAAATGGCAAACAAAAGAAAAAATTGTTGAGTTCAAACAAAACAGCTGTAAATATGGTAACTACTTACAATTTGGACAGACAGACACAGACACACACAAGACAATTTATTAATAAAACTAGAGTGCACTCAAGTGTATTTGGCCAAGATGAATTATAATGATTTTAGTTTTTAAATTTGTAACTGTAAGTAGAATAGTCAGATCTTTTGTAGGTCAATTAACAAAGATCTTTTATAATAAGAATCAGAAGGAGTAAAATCTTTTACACTTGTGAAAGCAAAGAGAGTGTTTAAGATGGGTCCTAGGTGACAGCTTATCTGATTGGAATATACAGCTATACAGGGTATTCATTGTTGTTTTGATGGCCATAATTGTTGGATAATCACAGCTGATGGCCCAAACTGCTGTTTTGATAGCCACATGTAACTTTTCTCTCTAATGGAACAGACTGTTAAAGGTAAATTTAACTTTTTGGGTGGGAGGGTTAGCAGACCAGGTTTGGGTGTAGAAAGAGATTATCCCTGAGAATGGTGGCCAGCCTACAAGATGTTCTGGAGAGAAATCATGATGAGAGGCAGTATTTTGGGGACTGGAGCTATGCCTGTTTTTTGTACATTAGTTCTCATTTAAAACTGTTACTAAACTCATCAGGTTCCCTAGGAATATTTTGTGCTATCAATTGAATGTATCTGTATTATAAAAATCAGTCAGTTTTCCCTGTGTTATAAAAGCAAGACAGCGTTGTTCTTGAGGGGAGAGGGGTTAATCTTCAGATCTGCTTAAGGACCAAAAGACAGGCCCAGGGATACAGCTCAGTGGCACAAGCACCTGCCTGGCAAGCACAAAGTCCTGAGTTTGATTTCTGGTACCAAAAAAAAAAAAAAAATAGATAAATAAAAGACCAAAAGACAGATAAACTTGGACTAAAAGTTGTACATCAATTTTTGAGAGCTTTAGGATTAAATCTAGACAGTTTTCTTAGAATATAGTCCAGAGATAAGTGAAAATTAGTTTCACTCTGGAAGGGTCAGAGAGGGCAAACTCACCATTCTGGAAACTTGACCCTGAAATTCAGCAGTCATGGAGGAGAGAATTGTCTTGGACCAAACACAATTGTAAACTGCATTATATCTCAGGGACAGGGCAGTGGAGAATGGACAGAAGAGTGACTCCAAGTATGGCACAGAAACTAAATCCTAACCATCTCAGGTGCAGGAGGATAATTAAGATCAGGAGCTTTCCCTGACCTGAATCTCTAATCCTTAGCAAAACATACCTGTAGAGACAAAAGTTGATTTCAACTGTACTGCCAAATAGAAAATGAAACCAGTAATCAAAAGACCTGTATGGCTGCTTTTTAACTTTTTGAAGGAGTGTGAGAAAATGAAGGTGTTTTAATTATGTTGTTTATAGGTTATTTTCTAATAAATGACTCTGAATCAAAGATTCTAAAATCCCAGCTTGAGAAAGAGATCTGTTGCCTCTGGGGACAGAGGCAGCTAATAGTCCAGAAGATATCTTGGCACTAAGGGAAAGAAATCTTTAAAACATATTGGTTTCTCTGTCTAGTCACCTCTACAGCAGCACTGGCTAGGGTCTATTTAAACCCACTCTGAAAATATGTATCATAACATAATATCTCTCTAACCTAGTTTATAGGTCTGAGTAAGTTCTCTAAAAACCTTAATACATTGGTTAGAAACATCTGAAAACCTTTCTAGATCTTACCTGATCTGTTTTAGGTCACAGAAAAAAAGACACATAAGTGCAGGTAGCTTTAAATTTTCCATTTATTCTGTAAGCGATATTGTTCTTAAAGAGCTTGAACAAAATCAGCTATGGAGGGATACAACCTCATGGAGGCTTCAATTATAGCTGTCCTAGAAGCTCCACCATGAAGAGCCAAAGGGAAAGTGAGGAAAGCCTCAGACTCAGTAATAGTGGATGCCTTGAGGGCCAGAGTTGTCTGGTTTTCCTGTGGTTCACATTTATATTTGAATGCAATTAAAGATTATTTCTTTAGTGCAAAGAAAGTCTGAAAATTTTGACCATTTTCCCCGTATCTTACAGTGCAATTCTAGATGTGCAATAGCATCATAATCAATGTATCCCTTTGCATTAGCAGTCATGTTTAAAGAAGGAAGGATTAGCACTAAACTATTCCTTGTTAGCTCTTTGAAAAAGGCTCTAAATGTCTATCTTTTTGCAAAATTAATTTTTTTGACACCTATGATTGTAATATTTGCAACTTTTTCTTACTTAAGGGCCATAAATTAACCCATACTAGTTCAGTAGCTTTCCATTTTATAGGGTTAATAATATCCCTTAGTTATTGTGGACTGATCAGGTCTGCAATTTCCCAAACAAGTATAGGCCAAAGGCTAAATAGAAAGAGGCAAATTGAATGAATTCAGGGCTCCATGAGGATCAAAACCCCCTCACAGAATTCGAGATTCTCTCAGGGCTAAAACCAAGACCTTCTCTGGGTGACCCATATTTATTTAGTTATCAGAAGAAGGGAAGGGAATAC